CAGGGAGAGGGGGGGGGGGGGGGAGTGTAAGCCCAATGGCTCATGTCCGTGGGTTGGTCAAGGGGCGTAGACTGAATGATTCATGGCCGTGCGTTGGTTCCAAGGGGCGTAGGATGAACGGTTCATTGCATGCCCGGGAACCAGATAATTTTGTCAATTTGGTCGCGAAATGGTATTGTACTCTTGTGGATTGATAGCCAGTGTGCAGAGTGTGCAGAGTCTAAATGCCAGGGACCACTGCGAATGGACCCGGGTTATGCTCCTGTTTGACTACCTGAAGTTGTGACACCAAACAAAACAGACTACGTTGCGTAGGAGTACTTCAGGCATGGTCAAAGGTCCTGCTCTAACACACCCTTAGACGACACCGTGTTCCAAATGAAGATTGCCGCAGCTGGGAACCACTTACGCAGCGTGATCTCATCGGCATCAACTCTCCAATCTTCACTGCGCTTGCTGGTTGCTGATGCGCTTTGAGAGCATAACCCGACACTGCCTTTATCCAATTGTGTGCAATATTTCTTGTCATATGTACACCTGCTGCAAGTCTCAGGTCCCTTGCGTTGAGAGGAAAAGCACTCCCGCACACTATCTGGGTCTATGGCTTCATTGTAGGAGATGCCGTTACCTGATGAGCTTGTGAGTATACTTTGTGACGGATCAGCTGTCAGCAGCATCAAGCCGATTCTCTCAACACGGCTACGTTCCTTGACGGTCATATGCCTGGCCAGCCACACGAGGCTTGACAAGCCAGACCCGGTGAAGAAAACCAATGGAGTGTCATTGTTCTCCGGCTGGCGAATGTAGCGCAGAGCTGACTCAAGTGAAACAATATCCTGCTCAGCTATGACCGTGCCTGCACTAGTGTCAAGTGATACATCCTTGGCAGCAGCATTTGTATCCTCCAAACAGGTGGATGATGTAGCGTTCTGGAATATCTGTCGTTGCTTTTCAAAAGGGGCATGCCTGTACTGGCTGGTGAGCGTTTCCACCTCCTGGGCAGTTCTTGGCAGGCCAGTTGTGCTATCTGAGAACAGCCAGTCCAGGTGATAGAACCCACATGCTATTGCCGAACGTCGTTGGCGAGTTCCCACTCCTGTCCAGCATGCCAAGCCCAGATGGTCCAGCTGCTGCGTCCACTTCTGTACGCTTGCGCGCGTGGCAGAGAGCGAGTCGTTGGCACTGGCTAAGTCCTGCTCCCATCTCTGCTCGGCAATGTGCTCTTTAATTTCCTCCACAGTCACGTCTCTGTAGCTGATTCGAAAGCGCCCGCTGCGGAGCGGCAGCGCAGCACAGGGAATCGTGTAGCCTCCGAGCTTGCCGATTTTTGGGTCAAATGCGGCGCGACAAAGCTGCGGGTTGAATGGCCGCACATCCTGCAAAACGAATGGTTTGTGCTTGGCATGCTTCATGCACTGCCCAATGGCCAGTGCCGTGATTGGACAATCGCAGTCACTACTCGTGAATATTGAAACCAGTATGCTGTTGAGAACGTTCGCATCCACGCACTCCTCACCATCCAGCAGCCTATTGCGCTCGGTCAAGAATTTCTCTCCGTTTGGCGGACCTGACAGGTAAACCCCTGGTGTGCATGTTGCTCCACACTGGACTTGCGTCTGACTTTTCACGGGTATTGTTGCGCCCCCTCTGTTCTCGAACACTACTTGTTTATCCCAAGGCAAGGCTAGCCGAGCTGAGCTGACTACCAACGCCGCGAATGCATCCAAATTGAACAGCGGGGAGCGACGGCCCCTGTTGAGCCCGTGCCATAGCGCCTGGTGCTGCCTCCCCAGCGATCGGACAGAGAACGGCTGAGATTTCAGATTCCCAATGCGTTGCTTCTGCTTTTTCCTAATTGGTGTCCTGCGCACGTTCTTGCGAGACTTCATTATCCTAAACTGAGAAATCAGCGCTAACTACGCGTCGTGACCTCGCTCAGTCATCTAAATTCTTGTTACACTTTTTAGAGTATAGTCTTGTTTGGAGAAATTTAATTTTAGAAAAGCGATCTAATCCTGATCCTGTCATGTCAGCTTTCCACGGTTATTTAGAAGTCATACTGATGTCAGCTCAGTGCGCAGTGATGATGGATGACAGATTCAGAAAAAATTATAAATGCATGGCGCATGGCAGCGATCAAAAAACTAACGACAAGTCTACAATTAGCTAATGTCATAGGCACTTCACCCCATTTTTTGAAATCGGGTTTTTTCCAGGTTTATCATCAGTAATCAATGGTGGTGGGTATCACAAGGTCACACAGAAAATTTTATTGAAATCCACAGTGATACGACTCAGATATGAAGGGTTGAAGATAGGCAGTTGCATAAGGCGAAATCAATACAATTTGTGGCACCAACAGCATCTCTGAAGTATTATCAGTGGATATAGTCACAAAACATCAGAGTGTTTTTTTCAAGCACACATCACTCACTTACACCAACAACCATGTATGGATCGAAACAATACAGATCAAAGTTCAGAATAGTCAAGAATACGGCAATTGTGACCGCAATCACTATAGCAACTCCATAGCAACCCATAGCAACGCCATAGTAACCCATAGTAACAGCTTCAGTTTGCTGTGAAATGAACTGATAACGACATACTGGCAGGCTCCTGCGGGTACTAAAGAGTAAGAGCTATAAAGACATTCTTCTGGCACAAAAACAACAGAGAACTTCCACGTTGTACGCCGTACACAGCAAAGTGGAGGGTAAGTATGCGCGCGCGCGCGCGCGCGCGAATTACTGCACAGGACATTCGTGCCCACAGTCATGCCACTTCAAGTGATTCCAAGTTGGCAAGAAGTTCCTCAGGACCGCTGTTGGTAGCTTCTTTCCATCGGGTGTGATATCTGCCTCCCTCTCCTTCAACTGCGCCATGCAGCAGTCATGAATTGCCTGCTGGTGAGCTTTGAAATTTCGGTGAAGCGTGCCTGGCTGCGTATATCAAAGCATCGCCTCATCGGAGGGTTTCTTCGGCAGCCACTGTGCCTTTTGATTGTTCGTAAACATCAGTAGGCCTTCCAGCGCAACCGTGTCAAAATTTGGCTCTCAGTACGCTTTGAGAATTCGCCCAGGTAGGACGACGCATCGTCGTTCTCCTCCGCCTAAAGCGCATACTTCTCAGTGCCTACGTCCATAATGTCTCCTTGCGCAGCGATGCGCAAACCCTGGTAAACAAGAACTCTACTGTTTCCGAATGGAAAGACGACGCTGAAGACGATAAGCAACGTTTCAAACGCGAGCAAACAACAGTTCTTTGTGAAAAAACACTTTGCTGGAAGTGTACGTGATCTACAACTCGCAAAAATGTACGCACTATGACGTATGCGGGATCTACCGAAAGCTGAACGTCAGAGCAACACGATGCGCCCAACTATCAGCCCGTACAACGAAGCATAGCGCGTACCTGTGCAGTTTTGCGCATGCACTTGACTGGTGCCACGCAAGTACGCACTCTCACCTTAGCAAATTTTGACAGGTCCTGTCACGTGACTGAAGTGCCTACTAATGATTATGTTACGTTACTTTCAAAGCTTTCTACATCGCGATTTCAGGCATGATAAAATAAATAAAATTTCACGGTTCGCGTGAGACTCGGCTGTAAAGCCGAGTTTTCGCATCCGCCGTGGGAACGCCACCACCTCACGCTCTACTGGCTCTAGCTCTAGGATCAAAGGCGCAGATGCAGCGCCTAAACGGTGGGAGGTGAGTAGATGATAGATCAGACCCACCACCAAGTTAGTGGTCAAAGACCGAAATCATGATTGAGAAACAGAGGGTACCAGGTTCAAGTCCTCGCGGCTTGGAAGCGGAAGGAATTTTTCCAGCCGTGCTGCGACCCACAGGCATGATAGCATACCGTATTATCTCTAAAACATGGACCGTGTATAAGCACGGTCCTTTATTTTTTCAATGTACCCCCGCCCCGTGCATGGTATTAATGGAGACGTTCCTTTATGGAGACTGTTCCATTATTATTTCATCCTCATTTCATAGGCATGTTGCCATGGCCAAATTCATGTCAGACACACACATTTCAGGGGTTTTTCGCCGGTACAGATGATGAATTATTTACACAGTGTGCTTATAATGGAGACTGAGCACTTTATTTTTGAATGCCGCCCCAAGGTGTTCTATTATTGGAGACTGTGCTTATATTAGAGATAATACGGTATGGTCATTATGGGCCAGCACCCAGTCTGTAGGTCTGGCAGTCATAATAATTATGTATAATTATAATACTAATACTGAGCCGCTCAGTGAGGCAAACAAATCAGCGCGTGCAGCGCTAGCTAAGGGCCGGGTTCCACTGCGACTCCGCGGCACTTGGCTGCATGCAGCGCGGTTCCACTGACACTCGTCATTCGCGGCACCGCGGTCGTGCTCCACACTTTTTGATGACGTTTCACCTGCCTGCGCGAAATCAAAAAAATCCTCGTGTTCTGGCCTGCGCAACGAATTAAAATTTGAATTTTAAAATTCTGGCGTACAAAACAATGCAAAGTACGGGAAACAGGTCGAGCCGCGACCGCGGCCCGCAGTTTTTGGTGAAGAATCGTAGCAAAAGCTCGCGGTGAGCCGCGGACTCGCTGCTCCAGCTCGAGCCGCGGTCACTATGGTAATGATGACGTTTCAAGCCGCGAAAGACGAGCAGCGGAGCCGCAGTGGAACCCGGCCCTAAGCAGGTGGATCTACTACACTACAGACTCACAAGAGTGCAGTGGCACAAAATCGAGATCGATGCACCGCCGGGGGAGGTTAGAGCCCCTACTGCCCTAGTAGGCCCCTACATCCTGACTTCAGGCTGTTCAGCGGTGTGTCTTTTTGTGAGTGGCCGGATTTATGGTATGAAAAATGGGTTTTCACAACTCCCCAGCTCTACAATGGCCCTTTATCAAACCACATCTCATGAGCTCCTTCAGCTGAATTCGTGCAGGTACACTAACAGCAGCAAGAGCGGCCGGGAGAAATTACGAGCATGGGGACTTGGTGGGCATGCCGCCACTCTGGCACAGCACCGCCACAGGCCATGCCGAACTCATGCTCATCATCATATTTTAAAGGTATTATCAGAGTAATACATGATGTGGCTCATTCAGATTCCACGGAAGCCAACACCATAAAATAGAATCGGAAGGACGGACAGGCAAGGCTGTGGACAAATTAAGAGTAACGGTAAAGTCTATCCCTATATTGAGACGTCTTACCAGTGGAGCAGAAAAATTCACTCTTTGTCTGGGCCAAGCCAGCAAGGATGTAACGTCTGCCGGTCTCATCGCAGTGCATGTACCAAGGACATGTCCAAGGTCTGGGAGCACTGGCAGCTTGAGCCAATGTGAACAAACAATAAGACGGAGAGCAAGTAGACATGGAGAAAAATATATTTGACCACCGGAGGCTTTCGGGCACAGAAGATGGTCAGTGGAACCCATGTCAGAACCAAAACACCAACAGAAACAAGAAATTGCGCAAGATGCAATCCTGATATTTGAATTGGTGCAGTTGGTAATCAAAGTACACGATGTTGAAGACTCTGCCGAAAGCAATCATGCCTGAACATGGAGTGCACTGGTGCGAGGCATTCCACCACACATGATCATGATAACGACTCGGCTTCAGAGCTTTCCTTAGAAGGCGACAATGAAAGGTTCGGCCCGAGCTTTGTGTCTAGGTGTGCACATGTTGACACAAGCAGCAGCTCTCTGGCAGTCGGACGGCCTGGCGTGTGCTGCCAGCACTTTTCCATGAGCACAAGCAATGGCTGGAGTTCCTAATGAAGGAAAAGGTTGGACACAAGGGCATGCACAGATGCAAATGCATGTGACATAGCAATCCAACCCAACACACATGCGTGCGCGTGCATACACACACGCACACGCCCGCACGCACACAAACACACATACAGAAGGAGAAGAAGAGAGAGAGATTGAGAGACAGACAGACGGAATGACAGAAAGACAGAGAGAGAGAGAGAGAGAAAGAGAGACGGGGAGAGAGAGAGAAAGAGAGAGAGAGAGAGAAAGAAAGAGGAAGGAAGAGAGAGAGAAAAAGAGAGACAGAGAGAGAGAGAGAGAGAGAGAGAGAGAGAGAGAGAGAGATAGAGAGAGAGAGAGAGAGAGAGAGAGAGAGAGAGAGAGAGAGAGAGAGAGAGAGAGAGAGAGAGAGAGAGAGTATACTCTGTACTGTAGGTTCAGAATGAAAACACATTCCTATGTCCAACTTGTACAACTTGCAAAAGTTCAAGAGCCGCCGTGCCAGATTCTCTGCTACTAGTATATGTATTTTGATTCAAGCTGGGTCAGAAATATTCCAGATAATAAAAAGAAAAGAAAAGCAGCTAATGCCAATCAGCGTACAATGGAACTCACCGGGTACAATGTCCAATGGGCAAATATCTCAGGATATGTATGGCGATCAAGCAGACATATCTGCATGTCCTGGAGAGTTGGGCTCGGCGGAACTTCTCTCCAATAGGGCTTTCGCATTCTACAGTCTGACCAAACTAACAATGAGGAAAGGATAGAAACCCATGAAACACACAACAAGAGTGACCTTCCTTTAGTATGCCCAATCACAAACACGTTCTTCTGTCCTTGAATGCTGCTAGAAAGGACACCGATTTCTTTTGCTTTGTCCAGAAGACTCAGAACATATAGTGACACACTGTAGCTAGGCGCCATTCAAACATAACCTGAAAATACAGCTTTCACTCTCGGAGCACTAAAAAAGAATACATTCACCTGAAGACAACTCAGGGTTGGCATAACCCTTCAACTCACCACTCAGCTCCAGTGCCCCTCCATCACATTGTTCCCAACCAAGAGCCGATGTGAGCAGCTCCCACATTACCAGTGAGGCGGCATACATGTCTGCTCCCAGCAATTCGCTGAAGCGCTGGCATTCGAATGTTTCCATTCCATGGCCGACCGACCTCAGCTGTTCTGGGGCAATGTAGCGTGGCGTTCCAACTATTCGACGGACAACACAGTGGTGCTTTCCTCGGATTGACGCAGAGTACTACAGACACACAGGACATCCAAAAAGAAAAGAAAATTGCCAAGCAGATCAAAGGCCATGCTTTTGCTAAGGTTTCCATTTCCATTTTCTTCAACATGCAATATTCCATTTACAAGTCGTAAATTTCAGCACCAAGTGTCGTGGCTGGCTGATCGTTCCTACGTGTTAGTTATTCCAAGCCCGTTGGCACATATTTCTTAACGGGCTATAGTGCTGTGACACCTGTAAACATCCACCTCATTCATTGTTTCCCGAAATTGAATTTGTATCTTGTCTGAAGCTTGAATTGCTGTGCTTGCATCACAACTTTAGATGCATTATCACTTAGAACTTCATCACAGACTCTGTACCGACGCAATGGCCAGCATAATCAATGTGTGCTTGTTTGGTGGATGGGGTGTTCTTTCATTCAAATTTTATTGTAGGATTCTCCAAAAGTGAATGGAAACTAGGTGTACGAGTAGGTCATGAAACAACAAAACTCTTCCTTCCCAACATAATGTCACACAAGGATGGCTCAGTGAGTGCGCTCGATTATGCCCGCGAATCGTTTCACGAATCGATTCACGAATAGATTCATGAATCGATTCGCGCTATTCACATCACCCCATGTGAATAGGGTGAATGGATTCCGAATCGATTCCAGTGCTCATGACGTGAAAATAGAACGACTTGAATGCATGCGAATGGATTCATGAATCGATTCAAGTGTATAATCGAACGCAGCCAGTGTTCACACTTTGTCCAATGCTGTGAAATGCATGCACATTTCGCCACCTGGTGGTCCTTGGTAAAAGGCAGGTATAATGCCATCACACCACGTTTGCCACTGCACACCCCGCTGTACTGGACATCAGCACGGCCATGCACTTACCATAGCATCTGTCATCGCCGTACCAAAGTCGATCAAGCAAGCGGAGTAGTCGTCCTTGACAAGGATGTTGGTGGACTTAATATCCCGATGGGCTATCCGGTACGCCATTCCCGATACTTCCTGACCAGCTTGTAAGAAGTCCAGAGCTGATGCAATACCATGAATAACATTGGTGACCTGCAACAATGTGAAGTTTTGCGCCTGGAATGTGCACATCGCAGACAAGCCAGGTATGCAGCAAGGATGGGTCTGCCGAAGATGAGAGCTATGCTGTAGTACTTATTCCTTGCACTGAGTATCATGAGCACATATGCTAATGCATGCAGCATGTTTCATTAACAACAAAAAATGGATCAAGAAGTGAGAAGGTGAAGAGCTGCACATGGACAGAACACCTCTAAACAACACACGGGAAGGTACAGTGCAGGCAGCAAGTATTTGGCATAGGTTACAGTGGCATAGGTTACAGTGGCATAGGTTACAGTGGCATAGGTTACAGTGGCATAGGTCACAGTGGCATAGGTCACAGTGGCATAGGTCACAGTGGCATAGGTTACAGTGGCATAGGTTACAGTGGCATAGGTTACAGTGGCATAGGTTACAGTGGCATAGGTTACAGTGGCATAGGTTACAGTGGCATAGGTTACAGTGGCATAGGTTACAGTGGCATAGGTTACAGTGGCATAGGTTACAGTGGCATAGGTTACAGTGGCATAGGTTACAGTGGCATAGGTTACAGTGGCATAGGTTACAGTGGCATAGGTTACAGTGGCATAGGTTACAGTGGCATAGGTAACAGTGGCATAGGTTACAGTGGCATAGGTTACAGTGGCATAGGTTACAGTGGCATAGGTTACAGTGGCATAGGTTACAGTGGCATAGGTTACAGTGGCATAGGTTACAGTGGCATAGGTTACAGTGGCATAGGTTACAGTGGCATAGGTTACCGTGGCATAGGTTACAGTGGCATAGGTTACAGTGGCATAGGTTACAGTGGCATAGGTTACAGTGGCATAGGTTACAGTGGCATAGGTTACAGTGGCATAGGTTACCGTGGCATAGGTTACAGTGGCATAGGTTACAGTGGCATAGGTTACAGTGGCATAGGTTACAGTGGCATAGGTTACAGTGGCATAGGTTACAGTGGCATAGGTTACAGTGGCATAGGTTACAGTGGCATAGGTTACAGTGGCATAGGTTACAGTGGCATAGGTTACAGTGGCATAGGTTACAGTGGCATAGGTTACAGTGGCATAGGTTACAGTGGCATAGGTTACAGTGGCATAGGTTACAGTGGCATAGGTTACAGTGGCATAGGTTACAGTGGCATGAGCTCCCTAACATAATAACTATTGTGTGTTTCCTGACATGATTGCGACCTTCACAGAAGCATCAGCAATGATCCAAGGTGGAATGCGTATCCATGATTCCAAGAGCACATAACCCGGCCCCTCCCCCAGAGTGTGCAACGCCTGATCCAGTTCTGGATAGGGTATTGGTCGAGCGTAATCGGATCTTTGCGTCATAATACCGTACAGATTTGATTCCGGGCATGCCCCGGCCACGAGCAGGACATCACAACCCAGTAGCACCCGTACAGCTTGTGCATTCCAGCGCGACTTTTCTTCACCACAAATACCCCAGACCCATTGACTCTCAACTCAAAAACAAAGATGCCCTGCCTTGCACGGGTGTGGAGTGGACACATGACAGAAATTGTACCACGACACCTTCAACAAAAGTCCGTGCGCGTTTGGAAGCATATACTGTTAGGAGTGCATGTCGGATATAATGTTGTTTTTTCCCCTTATATTGAGCTGGCTTAAAGTGCGGAATTTTCATTGTAACACCGACTAATTGCGATGGGTAACAGCAATTTCAACAGTAAAACTATTCCAACAGTACAACTATTTCAACAGTAAAACTATTCCAGTTTTGAAACAGGTATATCACTGTTATACTCAGGATATGCTGGCGGCCATTTTCAGGCTATGCTGGCGGCCATTTTCAGGATATGCTGCTGGCCATTCTCAGGATATGCTGGCGGCCATTTTCAGGATATGCTGGCGGCCATTTTCAGCCGCATAGCCAGCAATCGCATGTCATCAGGTACATGGAAAATCACACCTTGGACGGGTGTGGTTTTTGGCCTGGGCCAAGCACAAGGAGAAACCTTCTGCCGAAAATAGTGGTGAATTGAATATACCGAATATTCGTTCGGTTTGTCAGATTCGAACGAATATTTCTCATGGCGAATATTCGTTAACCCGCTATGCAGAGTTTACCGGGCGACTTCAAACTTCCGTAACTTCGCGAATACTTGACCGAATCACTTCATCGATAGGTCTATCGGCATTAGAAAACTCTCAGCTGTCGTCTCGAAGCAACCCGAACGCGATCCGAGGTCCTGGAATGGAGTTTTGGCGGTCGAACGAAAATAACGTCTCAAGCTGGGTTTTTTAGCGTGTAACATGCACTTCAGCTGGGGATTTTGTGAAAATTGACCTAGAAATGATGGAAAATATGCGCCTTCATTTGTCATGCCTAATAATAGTGACAATATCCAATAAAATGACTGAGAGGAGGGCGTGTGATGTCATCTGTGTTAACGAAAGAATACTCATTCGTTCGTTCGTTAAGCCAAAATTCGGCTACTGGGTTTTGATATTCGTTTCACCACTAGCCGAAAAAACTGAAGAAAATGGTTGTTGTTGGATCCTTTGATATAATCTTTGTAGCTAGTCAAAGTTAGTTGCTGTTTGGAGCAGAAACACTGAAATTGACTATTTACTGCATGACTGTACTGGATGCTGCTCTGCAGCCCTTGGTGAACATTACCTGCGCTTGTGAAGCAGCTGAAAAGGACCACTAGTATGTCTTGTTCCCGTTTTGAAAGTGGACAGACGACTTTCGTGCCTTAAAAAAGGAGTAGAGAGCGACAAAGGTACGTCTGTAGCTGATTTTTGAGTGCTCCTCGTACATTTTGATGGTAATATAAAATTCTCGGACCAAAGTCAGTGCGGCGGTGGGCGTACAGTTTTCTTGTGGATTTTTTAGTTGTTTTGTCTCGTACCTATGTCAGTATCGTGATGGTGAAATGGAGAGGATGATTCTCTTCCTCTAGGCTTCATTCGGCCGACTTTGCTTCGTCGTCGTTGAAAAGTGATGCTGAAAAAAGGTCGATTCGCAAAAATGTGTTGATTTTCAATGTACGCGATGACATGCGATTTCTGGCTATGCGTAACGTGTGTTTTTCAACACCATAACCATACGAGAACCATTACTGTACGACGGAGACAACAGCAGTGTGACACCTGACTATGCGTAACGTGTGTTTTTCAACACCATAACCATACGAGAACCATTACTGTACCACGGAGACAACAGGAGTGTGACACCTGGCTATGCGTAACGTGTGTTTTTCAACACCATAACCATACGAGAACCATTACTGTACCACGGAGACAACAGCAGTGTGACACCTGGCTATGTGTAACGTGTGTTTTTCAACACCATAACCATACGAGAACCATTACTGTACCACGGAGACAACAGCACTGTGACACCTGGCTATGTGACAACAGCCCAGTATGGTGGTGCGTGAGTTCAAGGAGTGAATGCCCCAGGGGCCTCTCGCGGGACTACTTGCAGTACTGTGTCGGAGCGCAGAACTGTCACCCTTATTTTTATTTATTTTATTTATTTCACTCAACTCGTGGTTCATGACCAATTGGCACGCAAAGTGCGAGAGAGGGGTGATAGCCAACCACGGCAAGAAAAGAAAAGAAAGGAATATAGAAAAAGAGAAGAAAGAGGGATAGACAAGAATCCAGCAATGAGATCCTATCGTACTACATTATGCGATCGGAGTGCATTTTTAAAGCTGGAAAGACATTTTGATGTCTTAACATGCTGGGGAAGTTGCAGCCAAAGGCTGTAGGACAAAAACAGAGGAGAGTTGGTAAATGCGGCTGAATTAGCACAGGGAAGTGAGAGACTATTACGAGTGGACCGGGACAGAGAAAACCAATTGAATACGGAGAGATGAATGGGAATTTTACCTAGGCGAATTCTGTGGATCAAAACGCAAAGCTGCTGTTTGCGATTATCTTGCAGTGGTTGAGTATTGCTGATACAATAGAGCTCAAGACTAGGAAATAAACGCTGCTTGTTAAACAATATTTTAAGAAGAGATTTATGTTGGATTTCAAGTTTGTTCACAAGATGTTGACTTAGACTACACCAAGACTGACATGCATACTGGAAAATAGGTAATAGATACGAGCGATAAAACATAGAACGGCATGTATTTGGCAAATGAGAACGATGAGGATATAGTATGCCGAGAACACTACTAGTTTTCTTGCAAATATAGTCTACATGAGGAGCCCATGTTAGACAGTCGTCAATAATTATACCAAGGTGCTTATGTTCATGGACAATTTCTATGGTCGATGAGGTGCCAGGACATGATAAAGACACATTGCAGAACTGATCACTAGCACCGCTACAGAAGAACATCACTTTGGTCTTACTAGTGTTCGGTCTCAGCTTCCAAGTCGACATCCAAGAAATGGTGGAGTTTATCTTTTTCTGGAGGTCATTGACTAGCAATTGCTTGCAACTACTTGAAGTGGAAACTGTGGTGTCATCGGCGAACAGTGAAACATTAGGGACAGACATCGGTAGATCATTGACGTAGACTAAAAAGAATAGTGGCCCCAGGATTGACCCCTGTGGCACACCAGAATTAATTGCCTGGGGAGACGAGAGGGTGTTGCCGACGCGTACAGCCTGTAGCCTGTCAGTTAGGTAGCTTTCAAAGAAACAAAGCAGGTTGCCACCAATGCCATAGGCACCCAACTTGGCAATCAGGCCTCTATGCCAAACAGTGTCAAAGGCTTTCGCCAGGTCAAAGAAGCACATGCCAGTATGTTCTTTCAAATGTCGGGACTGCATGATGTTTTGGATCAGGTGGACTAGGTGCAGAGCTGTGGAGTCCCCTCGCCGGAAACCAGACTGCATGGTATGCAAGTACGGGGACAAGTGTCGATATAGCTGATCGTACACAATGCGCTCAAACAGCTTTGAAATACAGCACAGTAGGGAAATGGGTCTGTAGTTCGTTGCATCCGACCGGCAGCCTTTGCGCTTATAAATTGGGACCACTAATGCGTATTTCCATGCGGAGGGAAAGATTCCAGACGACAGAGAGATGTTAAAGAGCAGCGATAACGGATATGCTAGGCTGTCTTGGAGGTGTTTCAGGATTTCGTTTGGTATACCATCGTAACCAGGAGACTTCTTATTGGGGAGACTGCGTATGTATCTGGTTACAGTACGGGATGAAATCGTCAGCGATGTAAACGTTGACTCTACAGGTATTTGGTGGATAGGAGGAACTAACCATTCAGGTCTATCCTTAACGCAGAAGCTGGTAAACTGCTCATTCAGAGCATCCGCGATATCAAGAGGCGCAGTGGCGGAACTTTGGTCAGACCGTGTGATTGCTGTTGGACTAGAGCCCAATGACGATGCTGATTTACGAAGAGTTCTTATAAATGAGTGAAGTGATGGGCGCTGGCTGTCGGTGAGAGAAGTAGTAATGGACTGGATGTATTCTTTATGGGCTACACGTGATAACGTTTTTGCTATATTACGCTGACGTTTGTACTGCGTTGCATTGGACGGGGTAGGGTATTTTTTATAGATGCTGTAGAGGTCATGCTTTCTCTTAATGCCTGCCCTGAGCACTGGTGTCATCCATGGTGGATCCTGGCGTGAAGGGCGGCTTCGGTTTCTGGTGGTTGACTGGTGATCGCGGTGAGAAGAGCAGACTGAGAGAGACGATTCGAGGACAGACGAGAAGTTAGAAACGGCTGTATCAATATCAAGGCCGCATAAAAGGTCACTCCAGTGAGTTGCGGCAATTTCAGCATTGACGCCTTCCCATTGCGATTGAGTGAGCAAGTGATGGCTGAAGCGAGGCGGTGCAGTGTCAGATGTGGACTCTCGAGACTGTGCTATGTCTTTAGCTATGGAGAGCCTGCCGAGGACGATTAAGTGATCGGAGGCACCCAGGGGGCTCAGGGATTCAATGGATGTGAACCTCTCGGGAATGTTTGTGGCGACTAGGTCCAGGCAGCCACGGGGCCCATTGGATGTAAGATGGGTGGGGAACGTAACAAGTTGAGACAGTGCTATGGAGCGAAAAAGGTTACACAAGGCAGAGCCTGCAGCAGATGTTGAGTCGGAGGCACACCAGCTCTGGCAATGGGCATTAAAATCACCAGTTACAATGGTAGATGATGGAGCAGGTAGCTTAATGAGAGCAGTCCGCAGAGTATCTACAAAATATTGTAGGTCAGCAGCGGGCTGGTTAGGGGGTCTATACAAGCAGGCAAACGACAGTGGTTGGGATGAACCTATGGGAGTAGCTTCAATAGCAATTGCTTCAAAGTTCTGTTGCCGAAATGAGTGAATCTCTCTCACTTTGCTGAAGGCGGTAGTGAGCACCAGGTTGGCAACACCCCCATAGCCTCTGAAGGGGTCAGGGTTAGAGGG